GGTTTGGTTTTGTGAAAAAAAAAATCTTGGGGAAAGGGTTGTATATTTTGAAAATAGTTTTGGAATATGGAAGTTTGGGATGATTTGATATTTTGTTATAGTTGAGTAGATGTTTGTGAGAGAAATAGTGATTGAAATGAAGAGAGGAGATAGAAAAAGTAATTAATTGATGTGTAGAAGATAGAAAATCACTAAACCAAATGAAATTTTAGAAAATTTTCTTTGAAAAGCAAACCAAACAAGCGGTATTAGGAAACAGATCAATTATAGTCTTTATATAACAGTATCAAGTGTATCAAGAATCGGGTGATGTAATTGTTAATTTTTAAACATTTTTAGCCACATAAAAAATTTATAGTAGCCAAACCAATGGTATCATTTGTTACTTGACCTTTCATGAACCAATTATAAATTGATATGTATCCAATACGTAAGTTATTTTCATTCTTACCACCATACTGTATGGTCAAGAGCCAATAAAACCTATACAACATATGAGTTGATATTTAAAATCTTAATCATATATTTATTTATTTATTTTTATATATCAGGTAGTGATGCTTTGGCTGAAACCAATCCATGTGGTTGCAAAGGCGGTTCATAATCACGAATATCAGATAAATTGAATAGGATAATGTACACTAAACCTAACCCACTAACCTAACCCACTACATCCACCCCACTAAACCTAACACACTTACCATCTCCACTACCACCCACCACCTCCACTACCATCCACTACCACCACTCACTTACCTCACACCTCTCCTATATAATAGCTTGTAACATACAAATCAATATACATCAATCTTGTAATATATACACAACAATACAATCAATAATAATACATCAGTATTTTACAGATACAAACATCAAGTTGATCTAATTTTTGTTTGTGAATGATATATAAAAAAAGACCCTATAAAATGAATGACATGAATTATTGAAACGAAACTCGTGATGAATTTCATGAGCTCAGACTTCCATCTAGATGCAAGTGCAGATAAGCCCGTTCTCTTTGGATAAATTACATTGGCCTCTCTTGAGGTTCGTAAAAAAATATAATAATTTTCACAATTTTAATATAATTATACTAATATCGCTTTTAGTAAGTTTAAATAAATCAAAACTAGTTTAGAAAATACAAAAATGAATAATATAAAATATATATTTTCATGTACATGACATGGTAATATTTTTTTTATCTATATAATTAATAAATTATTGATATAATATAAATTAAAATTTTAAAAGAATTCAATATAATTATGTCAAAATTATAAAATTTATTGGGTTTTTCTCTATGAGTTCCGTGTAATCAACCTTCTTTGTTTCTAGTGAGGGAAAAAACAAAAATGTGTTGTGAATAGCCTAAATTTTAACCTTTTCTCCCCGAAACAGAGTTGAATAATTGAAGAAGAAATCTGGGGTGAGATTGCAATGGTGCATGCCAGCAAGGGGTTGAATAATTGGAAAAGAAATATGTGGTGAGATTGCAATCGTACAGGCAAGCAAGGGATTAAATAATTGAAGGGTTGAATAATTGAACACGAAATCTGTGGTGAGATTGCAATGGTACATGCAAGTAAGGTAATTATTCAGTAATTTCATAGTATGGATACGTAGTATTTCATATTATTAACGGTGGGGAGATTTTCTCTCCTAAGTGCTAATTTAACAACTAACATTTGTGGATAAAAAAATATATATATATATATTATAATTGGTAGAGAAAGTTAATAGGTGAGGTATTATATTGGGTGATTAGAGAATATGAATGAATATATTAAATAATGATTGATTAGAGAGTAGAGGCATATAACATTCTAAAAATATTTAATAATTTTCCGCGAGCAAGTGGAGTATAATGATACCAGTGGTGTGTGCCCACTTCATTATTAAATTTAAAAAATATAAATTTTAATTTAAATATCAATATCAATATGTATGTGAAGAGTTTTAAGAGGCAAGTCAATTACATTGAATTAATTATATGAAAATATTTTTAATAATTTAAAAATATATATTTGATAAAAAGTCTCAAGACACTAATAAAGATGTTCATAGTACTAGTGTATGCATGTGTCGATATAAATAAAATAAGTGAATAGAAAGAGAAAAATAAAATAATAAAGAAATAAGGAAGAAAATTAAAAAAAAAATAAAAAGAAAAGAGAGAGGAATGTGGGCAAGAGAGAGAGAGAGAATGCATGAGTAAACAAAAGGGAAGAGCCTTCCTCCAATCCAATCACGGACTGGAGGTATTGTTGAGCCCTTGGGATCCATCATGGGTTTCGTTTCGATAATCCAAACCGTTGAATGTGCAAAACTCGTTGAGTACTATATGCATGAAAAACATCACATTGATCGGATATCGATAGTTATGTGATCAAATTAGTTTTGTATGAAAAATTGGATAGTAAAAAATAAACGATTTACAAAAATCTGATTTGCTCACATAACTATAGATATTCGATCAGTGTGATTTTTTACAAGGGTATAGTACTCGACGGGTTCTACACATTGAACGGTTCGAATTATCAAAATGGTATCCGCTTGGGCCCCCATGGGCCCAACATTACCCTCTAGTTCGATCATGGATTGGAGGGAAGCCATTCTCAAAAACAAAAAAGGGAGAAAACAAGGTGGTGGGTGAGTGGAAATTAAAGAAATCTTAACCATAGGATGAATTTGGGAATTAATCTCAGCTATTGATACAAAATGTATCTCTAATACATTTTGACACATTTTCAAAAGGATTCGGATCCCCTTCAGTCCAGATTTTAGACTGGATGGTGTTGTTTGAGTCTGTGGGATCCACCACGAGTCTCGTTTCGATGATCCGAACTGTTCATTTTGTCAAACACTTCATCTATTTCATCCATCCAAAAAATTAGGTAAATTCGATAATTGTAACTTGTTTAATTTATTGCGTTTGTCACTAAAAAAATATATGATTTATTTTAAAAAATACAATTATTATCTATTTTTTTAGTGAAAAATTGAACAAGTTATAATTATCGGATCGACTTAAATTTTTTGTGGATGAAATACATGAAGTGTCCAACAAAATGAACAGTTAGGATCATCAAAATGGACCCCATAGTGGGTCTCATGGACCCAACCAGTGCCCTCCGGTCCAGGGAGGGGATCCTCATCCTTTTCAAAAACTCTCTTACTTTATTATATAGATGTTCTCTTTAAGATTTGACTTCTCTCATGTTCACATTTTAATATAAGAGAATTTGAGGGGTCTGTGGAGTTCACTATGGGTCTCATTTTAATTATTGACACCGTTCATTTTATAAAATTCTCAATGTATATCATCTGTGAAAAAAAATTAGATTGATCCAATAATCGTAATATTTTCATTTTAACGTGTTTCTCTCTAAAAAAATGGATGATTTATTTTTAAAATATATTTATTGTCCATTTTTTAGAGAGAAATGTCACAAAATAAAAATGTTACAATTATCGGATCAAACTAATTTTTTTCATGGATAATATATATTGAAAACTTTATAAAATGAGCGGTTTAGATTGTTAAAACGTGATTCATTATAGATTTTACGAATCCTTTAAATTCTCTCATGTTGAGATATAAAAATGAGAAATCAATTATTCTCTTTATACGTAGCATAGATAAGACTTTTCTTAGGGAGGAACCAATGGGAAAAAAATGATATTGGGAAGTATTTGGGTGCTGGGAATGCAAATTTGAGTAAATTTTCATAAAAATACATAAGTTATCTTCTAAAATCTCGGAGCTTAAACATAAATTAGCGTAAATCTAAACAAATTTGAGAATCACAACTTTGCGTAAGTTCTCACAAACATACGGAAGTTACCTTACAAAATCGCAGAAGTTAAATACAAATTCATATGATTTAACCCATAAAAATTTGAAAAATTACATATTAGCATAAATTCTTACAAACATACATAAGTCACCTCACAAAATCGCATAAGTTAACCTATAAAAATATGTCATAAATTTTTACAAAAATATTTAACTTTAAGTCACAAAAACATATAAGTAAATGATATACGGTATCTTGCACGAATTATCCAATCAGACCAGTATTACTCTCACTTGCACTTCCAACAGTCATCCTGTAACCTATCAAAACAAAATGACAACAAAAAGATAATAATTAGAAGAAAAAAAGAAAACAAAAATATCTTCTTCGTTTTTTCATCTCAATAAAAATTAGGACAAATTGTGTTATTAGTTTCTGTATTTTGGTCATTATGTTATTTTTGTCCCGTAAATTTAATTGGTTCGATTTTAATCTTGAATTTATAATTTGTTTCAATTTAATCCAATTATTTACAACTTTTAACATTTTTTATAAAAAAAAAAAATATACATATAAGTGACACGTGTTATATTTTTTAAAATAAAATTCTAAATTTATTAAATTTAGTGAGTTAACTTCAACCAATTTAATGATTGTTTTTCGTAAAAAATACTAACGAAATTATCAATTGGATCAAATTGATACAAAATTTAAAATCAAGAGTAAAAATTAGGCCAATTAAAAGTGGAGGGAACAAAATGACAATAAGAATGTAAGAACCACCGGTGTAATTTGCCCTAAAAAAAAAAATTCAGATAGTATTTGGTTGACTAAAGTTGTTTTAGGAATTGATTATTTTGATAATTTTTTTATTTTTTATTTTTTTATAGAAAAATGAACAAAAAATTAGAAAGAATAGTTGCCATTTTATATTGACTTTGGGACTAAAAAGCCAACTTCCTAAAATAAGCCTCAAATGAAATTGAATGGGTTGATTATTCAATTAAAATGTTTATTATCACGTTTAGTTTACTAAAAAATGATAGAAAATTCATTTCAAATGAATTTAGGAAAAATTATTTATAAGTCCTATTAATTAGGAGAACTTATTTAATGTAAAATCTTGTGTAGTTTCTTATAGAGTTTCAAGTTCTATTTAGATAGAAAAGTGTTCCACAAGGTTCTATGAGTTGTGAGTAAATGGTATTAGTAAATGATCCGCGCTCATTGTTGAGTGCTGAGTTTGGATTTGCTGGTGTGCCACCTACTGTTATGGTTCAGTGCTTGCACAAGGGATTTAATCATCCAGAAGGGTATGAATGTGCACCAAAGAATGTTAAGATTGGTTCATTGCAAATGTTTATGAAGAATATTGGATGTTGTGAGGACATGGGTCCTAGGGATTTCCCTGTGGAGGAGGTCCACAAGATTAGTGTGTTTGATATAAGAATGGTGAATACAGATAGGCACGCGGGAAATATTCTGGTGAGCAAAGAGGATGAAGAAGGGTGTATCGTGCTTATTCCAATTGATCAAGGCTATTGCTTACTGAGAATGTAAGTGCTACTCTTCTCTTAACATTTCAATAAATGCAAATATAAGGCACAAGGTTATAGGAAAAGGAAAATTACAGAACATGTTCTGGGATTTTCGATGACATGGACCAACATAACAGTCAATTTCCATGTCTGGACACAAAATGAAATTGAATTTTTTATACAATAGCTTGATTCATCCAACCTCAACAAAAAATTGTTGTGCTGGTTTAAGAGCATTTTAATAGTTTTACATAAAGGGTCCTGCTAACAACCGCCTAATGGGCGTTTGTTTAAGAAGCAAACAAATTACAACTTCAATAAACATTTCACATATTTGCATACACATATTTTTTGTTATATATTTCTCTAAAGCATTGTCACTAAAGTTTGAAATTAATTTTTAGATTTTTAACTAATATAGAGTCAAATTTCTTCCTAATGGCAGTTTAAAGATTGCATATTTGATTGGCTCTATTGGCCACAAGCACACCAACCTTACTCCCCAGATACAGTTGAGTACATAAGATCACTGGATGCTGAACAAGATATTGCACTTTTGAAGTTCTATGGATGGGACCTTTCAATTGAGTGTGCACGTACACCCCGTATCTCCACCATACTTTTGAAGAAAGGGGTAGAGAGAGGACTCACTCCTTTTGCCATTGGAAACATCATGTGCCAAGAAACCTTGAACAAGGAATCCCTCATTGAGGAGATAGTTCGAGAGGCTCAAGATTCCTTGATCCCTGGCATGAGTGAAGCTACATTTCTTGAAACTGTATCCCAAATCTTGGATTTCCAGCTCGACAAGCTTGCAAAATAATTCTCACTGGATCTATAGGTATATGTAATAATGTATGTATAGATCGAATGACCAGTCCATTTGGATGGACTGAAAATTTTCACCTAGTAATACTTTGATTGTCTTGAGACACTGAACAGAAATTTATATTATAAATAAAGAAACTATACCCTTATTCAAGTGTTACGTGTTTTTACATTTTTGGAGTGTCAAAGAAAAACAGAAGAAGAGAGTTTGTCGGAAAACCAACCCAATTTTTGCAAATTGATATTTTGCTACAGAGTTTGGGGAGATTAATGTCTCTTAATTTTTGTTGGGCGAAAGAAATCTTTGAATCGCTTACCTACCAAAAAAAGAAATCCTTCAAACTTTAGTTTTCCTTGCATGAAATTTTCACAGATAATATTCTCCATCTAAACAAACAGAATGATGGTGTGCCTTCACTCTGCTTGGGAATAGAACTAGGTCTCAAACAGGCCAAATTAACCCCTAAATCCGTTCCTAGCATATTAATATATTTTGTGCTGAACTCTCGGAACTGGTTTAACAGTGCTTTTTATTTTATTGATATTTTAATTATAGAAAAGGTCGTACCTGGTTCACAGGGCTCCTACTTAAATAGGTAGATAGGTAGCCTGCTATTGTGCACAGTGATAAAGATATCAAACATGTAGATAAAAGGAATAGAAGAAAAGAGTAATTAGACAAGTGCAAGCTTAATTATCATAACTTAATACAAGTGCTTTTTGTACTATAAACTTATCAATCATGCCAAGTTGCTAGGGGGATGGAATAACATTGAATGACAAAGATTTGCCCCAAACACCAAACCCAAATCCCAAATCCAATTTTCCTGGAGAATCTAGTTTCTTGATAACAATACATTTACCAATTTGTCCAAATTCAAACTAGATGACCCACCTGGACTAGTTGCCTTTTCTGCCAATTTCTTCCACTCCATGGCCTTGTTCTTCATTTTCTTCCCCTTCTCTCCTCCCATTAGCTCTCTTACAAGCTTCTCTACTTCATCTCTTTTCACATTATTGTCTATCTCCATGCCAACCTCCCATTCATTGCAACTGTATCTACAATTTGTCTGTTGGTCTGCAAAAAATGGCCAACACATCATGGGCACGCCCACCGACAAGCTCTCAATAGTCGAGTTCCAACCACTGTGTGTTAAGAACCCTCCAACTGATGGATGGTTTAGGACTTCCTCTTGTGGGCACCAACCTTCAATCAAACCTCTTTGTTTAGTTTCTGCAATGAACTCAGGTGGCAAAATTGCTGAATCACCGATCACCAAATCAGGCCTAATTATCCACAGGAAGTAGTGGTTGCTGTTGGCAAGTCCCCAAGCAAACTCTACCAACTGTTTCTGTGACATGACTGTTACACTGCCGAAATTCACGTAAACAACAGAGCTAGGTTCCTTTGAGTCAAGCCAGTGGAGACACTCTGGTTCTTCTTTCCACAGACTGTACCCAAGAGACTCCAAGGGGTCTTCTTTTCTTAATTTTTGGTTCAAAAGTAATTGAATAGGACCAATGGTGTAAACATGGGGAAACATAGATGAGAGAACATCCAAAAGGTTTTCTTCCAATTCATTGAAAGTATGAACACAAAATGCTGAAGCTTCACATGCTCTCTGTGCTGCTTCCATAAGTAAATTAAACATTTGCTCATTTGGGTCGGTAGTTTGAAAAAAGGTTGGAAGGTCCTTTAGACGAATATCTTTCATTCCAGGAATCCAGTCTATTTCAGTATCCAAGTATCCATTTGTCAAATAACTTGCATCTGTATATCATAAACAATATTAGCTTTAAAACATGCCTTCATAATTTTTTATTTCTTATAATTTTGATATACACAAGCATGAACAAAACACACATATATACCTTTGAGTGGTGTAAGGCCTTTGTCCAAGAGAGCACGATATTGATAAAATCCCATGAAGCCACAAGCAGCAAAAGTCCAGAATACAGCAACAGGGATTCCAAGTTCTTGAGCTGCAGTGATGGTGAATGGCAATATACCATCGGAGACAATACAAGTCACTGGAGGGTTGTTGGAAATGGAAGAGTCATTGAGATTGGCAAGGAGGTTGCGAAATGGTGTTAAGAAGTTCTTTCTAACGGATCCACAAAGAGAAGGAACATCTTGGGTGGCATCAGGGTTTGATGGAGGAAGGCCATCTGGAATTGTTTTGAATTGGAATTTGGGCAAGCCATACAGGAAGTCATGTCCTCTAGCTTTGATTAAGCGCTTTTGGTTGAACTCTGTGTTGACGAAGGTAATATAAAAACCCTTATGGTGGAGGAGCTTTGCTAGTTTCAAAATTCCTTTGATGTGGCTTTGAGCTGGGAATGGAATGCAAACTGCATGAGGCTTATTATCACTCACTGCCATTGCACACATTTCCCTGTTTGTTTCTTTGCTTTGTGTGCGTTTTTGCTTTGTGCGCTTGTGGATTGGTGAAGGCATTTAAATAAACTTTATCTTGCTCATGTCCATATTTTTTAATAAAACATTATGTGTTTTAAATAATTAATTGTTCATAAGGTTTTAAATAGCAGTATTAGGAGACAGATCAATAATAATCTTGATATAACATAATCACGTATCAAGAATCAAGTGACGTAATCGTTAATTTTTAAACATTATTAGTCACCTAAAATATTTATAGTAGCCAAACCAATGGGGCTTTTCCCATATTAAGCCCTTTTTGCATCTTATTTCCCAAACTAGGTCTAGTTTGGACGGATTTCTCAAACTAGGCTAAAACGCTATTACAAATCGCGCTTTCACTGTTTGGAGTCCAAAATTTGATGAATAGTGAAAGCGCTATTGTAAAATGCGCTTTTAATTAATAAATCGCTGTTTCAAATCGCGCTTTTAACATAAAAAAAATTTTCTAAAGAAAACGCTATTTGAAATAGCGCTTTCACTGTGCATATAAATTTTTTTTTTTTTTTATAAAACGTTATTTCAAATAGCGTTTCTACTGTTGAAACATAAACCAAAACCAACCCACCCTCTGACATACGCACACACCCACACACACCCAACCCACACTCTGAAGAATTGAAATAATATAATTTTTATATATAATAATAATTTATAATAATAAATTATATAATTTTTATAATTTTCGTAAATATAAATCATTTTTAGGTTATGGATGGTTTGATTTATAACACGTATGTAAGGGTAAAAATTTTTATAATCAAAAATAATTTTTGCAATTTTTATAATCAAAAATAATTTATAAATTACCAAAAATAATTTATAATACGTATGTATTATAAAATTTTTTTATAATAATTTATAATATATATGTATTTACTTTAAATAAATTATATATAATCCGTATGTATTATATATATAATTTTTATATATTTACTTTAAATAAATTATTTTTGATACGTATGTATTATATATATAAGGGGGATGCACTAATAAATCTCAAATTTATATCTTGTAAACTATTTGGTCCTATGAATTTTCTTATGAACCATTAGGTCCTATATATATGTTAATGACCATTGAACATCATCGACATCAACAACAACTTCAACCTCATCAAACATCAGATCTCATACACTCCAATTCACAGATCTCATAGTTGATGTTGCTCCATTACCCACCATTGAACAACATCATCAACATCCAAATCAATCTCTCTCAATTTTGAAACCCTAGTTTTCTTTCTCTAGACTCTCTAATGGCACCCAAAGCAGCAGCAGAGAAGAAGCCCGCAGAGAAGAAGCCGGCGGAGGAGAAGAAGTCCACGGTGGCGGAGAAGGCTCCGGCGGAGAAGAAGCCGAAGAATTTTTCTAAGAAAACTAGACAGATTCTGTCATATATTGTATCAGAGTCAATATATATATATAATACATACGTATTATATATATAATACATACGTATCAAAAATAATTTATTTAAAGTAAATATATAAAAATTATATATATAATACATACGTATTATATATAATTTATTTAAAGTAAATACATACGTATTATAAATTATTATAAAAAATGTTATAATACATACGTATTATAAATTATTTTTGATAATTTATAAATTATTTTTTATTATAAAAATTGCAAAAATTATTTTTGATTATAAAAATTTTTACCCTTACATACGTGTTATAAATCAAACCATCCATAACCTAAAAATGATTTATATTTACGAAAATTATAAAAATTATAAAATTTATTATTATAAATTATTATTATATATAAAAATTATATTATTTCAATTCTTCAGAGTGTGGGTTGGGTGTGTGTGGGTGTGTGCGTATGTCAGAGGGTGGGTTGGTTTTGGTTTATGTTTCAACAGTAGAAACGCTATTTGAAATAACGTTTTATAAAAAAAAAAAAAAATTATATGCACAGTGAAAGCGCTATTTCAAATAGCGTTTTCTTTAGAAAAAAAATTTTATGTTAAAAGCGCGATTTGAAACAGCGATGTATTAATTAAAAGCGCATTTTACAATAGCGCTTTCACTATTCATCAAATTTTGGGCTCCAAACAATGAAAGCGCGATTTGTAATAGCGCTTTAGCCTAGTTTGAGAAATCCGTCCAAACTAGACCTACTTTGGGAAATAAGATACAAAGAGGCTTAATATAGGAAAAGCACCCAAACCAATAGTATCATTTGTTACTTGACCTTTCATGAACCAATTATATATTGATATGTATCACGAATAGGCCAATACATAAGTTATTTTCATTCCTACCACCGTACCAAGGTGTAACAATGTCTAGAACCAATAAAACCTATACAACATATTAGTTGATACTTAAAATCTTAATAATTTATTTATTTATTTATTTTTATATATCGAGTAGGGATGCTTTGGCTAAAACCAATCCATATAGTTGCAAAGGCGGTTAAATTGAATAGGATACGAATATCAAATTGATCTAATTTTTGTTTGTGAATGATATATAAAAAAGATTATAAAATGAATAGTATGAATTATTGAAATGGAACTCGTGATGAACTTCACAAGCTCAGATAACATCCTTTCATCTAGATCCGTAAGTGGAGAGAAGCCCATTCTTTTTTGGATAAATTACACTAGCCTCTCTTGAGGTTTGTAAAAAAATATAGTAATTTTCACGGTTTTAATATAATTATACAAATGTCTCTTTTAGTAAGTTTAAATAGATCAAAACTAGAAAGTACAAAAATATAAAATTGAATAATATAAAATATATATGGGTAAATTATACTAATAGTCTATGTAGTCTACACGATATGTCAATTTGGTCTATATTGTTTTAATATGCTCGATTTTGCATCTTAAT